GGTTTGGTTCAGTCGTCGCTGGTTTGGTTTCGTTTGGTTTGCTCAATTTGAAACCAGTTTGAGTCGGTTCAAACCGTGCCGACCCCTACTCACGACCCAGGGCAGCACCAACCAGCAGTGCATTAGGAAAACGCGTTTATATGGTGCAACTATTGCAATCAGCCATTGGGGGAAGTGCATCGGAAAAGGATTCAAACTGCAAGTTTGTCCAATAAAAGCCAAGGGCATGAAACGCATCTGCAGGAAATGCAAGCGCATTATTGCAAAAGCACCAGGAGAGATGATCTAGGTCGAAACAAAAAGGCAGCTGTTGACCCAGCAGACCCATTCTATAGCACCAAGTCACAGGTAGTGCAGTCTGTGGGTCCGATTAGCAGAGTCAAATCAATGGTACTCACCTCCAGCCCTCGCCGATCTTAGGTTCTCAGGGCAGTCGATGGTGAAAGCCCAGACGAGTCCATTCAGCCCCTGCCGCATCTCCTGCAGCTCCACCTGGATCTTCCTCCTGCCGTCCTGGTGAAATCAGCAGCCTTCAACATCGGACTCGGGGCCAGTGCTCCAGGAAGTCTAAATCTAATCAGCAGATTTAGTGCATTCGACATTGTTGGGCGAGGCCAGGTTAATGACAAGTAAAACTGTCAAATGGGAATCCCGCCACCACCTACCACCCAAATTAAGGCATGTAGACCGCACGTGGGGGGGGGGGGGGGGTTACATTCCTGGGTCCGAAATCACTTTCCTAGGTTAACCCTTGTTATTGTACAAACGGATGCTGCGCAGCTCCGTGTGTAATACAGTTTTCATATTCAGCTTGCCACAAAACCGCCATTACTCTTCCCACACACATAGCACTCACAAATTACCACCCTTCACAAGACTTTCATGTCTTCTGCAAGCAACCTCAAGTAGTGAATATTTCTGGCACAAAGCTCGTATATTGGTTAGGTCTGCCACTTACATTTTGCTGTTGTAGATCATACACGTCCAAGTAAGCCCCGTGTGCAATATTTTCTTACATCTACGTTGGTCTCTTAGAGGCCAGCTTGGATAGTGACCTTCTGTAGCAATATAGTGCCGTTGATTCTATACCAAGCATGAAACTGCTCCGATTCCCTTCTTTGCATTGAATAGTATCGCGAATGCTGCATCCATTAGCAGGCGTGAAATACATCAACTGAAAGCTTGTTTTGCCGTGTATTTTGTGTGATGTAAACACCAGTTAACCGTTCACACATTGCCTCTATTAAGGTGACCACTTGGGTGACATGGACGTCTAGATGGCAAATCCTTTACCGTTAAGCACCGGAAGAGAACATTTATGCTAGAGATAAGATGGAGACTACAGACAAAAAAGCAATGTAATGAGGCAAGGCCATGGGGCAAGAAAGGATACTTAGGATTGGTTTAAAGAGGAATGTAGCGACATGGCATACTACAATGAACAAGAGCACAAATGGCAAGTGCAAACCAAGGTAAATCTGATAAGACAAAGATGGCAAGATCTTGATAAGACATATGGAATGAGCATTGCATCGATTGTCCAGGGATACCAGTCAAGAAAAAGAGCTGCTGTATAAACTAGAATTAAAGTCGCTACCACCGAGAGATGATCGAAATAACATAGGAATAAATAGAAAAAAGCAATGCAAACCATCGTTAAACAAATTCCAGAGTGGACGGCAAGAGCTAAATAAGTATAACCCGTAAAAACAAAGTTTTTCACTAGAAATCCTTTATATGCGTGGCGGCTAGAGTTCTCTCGTCCTCTGGCTTGAGATGGCTGCAATCTATGGGTCAGATGATTGTCTGCCAGTATTAAGAAATTGGTAATTACATATTTAATTAGTTTTCCCTAAACAGTGTAAAATTTAGGAAAAAAATTCAAAAATTGTCACACACAACGAGTCTGTGTGGAAAATGTCAGCTCGATTGGATCACGGGAAGTGGGTTAAAAAACGACCCAAAGATTTGCACGGTCCTAAGCAAGCAAGCACGCGAACAATATAAAGGATTTAAAAATCTTGGAAGGAACTTAAAAATAAATGCACGAGCTAAGCAAACGTGGAGGAGAAAATACCAGAGTAGACAAAATCAAATTAGATTCTGGCCAGACAACATCCGTGGGCACGTGATGGCCGATCGGTTATGAATTGCGAAACATCAATTTCGCAACTACCACAGCAGTCCCAGCGGGTACTAGCATCGACGCAAGTCACAACGGTCTCCTCGTGTTCACCTCCACGCGCACGTGGCAGGCATCACCAGCAGCGGTGAAGTGGAGTGCAGCACCGTCCCTCGCGATGGAGAAGCCACAGTCCCCCTGCGCAGACTCCACATCCACGGCCTCATTCCGCACCGCTGGAGACATCAAAAACAAAGTAAAAAAAAACCTGCATTTGGATGGATTACGCACCACAAGTTCATGTGGGCAGCGTGACTGCAAGGAGAACAAAAAAGTATGGTGTCAGTGTGTACACGAATAGGAAATCTCCACAGTACCAGGAACGTCTCTAGGACACAGGATCCTCAATACACTATTGGAATTACGGTACTCCCAAACCTGCACAACGACCTCGTCTAATAGTTGCTAGTAAATACGGCTGCGTGTCGGATTTAGCGACAAGATCTCCCAAGTCGTCAACGGAGGACTCGTGGGAAATGCAGACAATGCGACGAGAGAACCAAAGTCTGACATGAGTCACCAGGTTCAGTTTACAACGGAAGTCACGACCTTGCATGAAATGTTCCAACGAATGGGAGAGCCCATCGTGCAGGCAATCAAGAGGTGGTATTGATTAAGGGATCCAACCGTCTAGTAAAACACACGCAGTTATCCTATGGAAGAATAAAATTTGATTATCGTCATCTGCTGTATTAGACTAGTGGAAATGAACCCTGACGCCAATACAGTATCATGCTTTGAATCCCAGATAAATTTTTCCATCGTTCATGCGAATTACATTCCACACAGTGTTAACCAAAAAAAACCTAAAATCGACACCGAATAAGAGAAATTGAGAGGTTAGAGCACATCGAAAGCGAAGCAGTTGGGACCAAACTGGCCAGAGATTCTCATCCTCGAATCAATTTGATAGCATCTATGAGAAGCGTCATATATTCAAGCATACAATGGATCAATATGTCAATTATGTCATCGCGATTTAAGTGAAAGCTCGTGGACTCACTCCGTACAAAGACACGGTAGTCACTGTGGGAGGGGCTGCTCCATCCCACAGAAAAACCCAGGGTCGAGGAGATGCATTGCTTCAGCAGACCTGAGGGAGGCAGTTCAGAAGTTGAGACGTCAACATCAACTACACCTTATGGAGCAATTAAAAAACAGCCCGCGACGGTTGCTGGGAGGGCGCACATCAGTCCCTTCACTTTTCTGTGCACACAAGTATGCAAGGTGTTGTGTGTTGTTCTTATTTGGCGCAAATTCAAAAGGCACGTGCACAACTGGACAGTATGAACCTCACACCAGGGATTGTCAGCCTGCAGTTTCGAAGCCGCTGGTTGAAACATGATATTTTGGTAGTAGACCCCTGCAATAGACTCTTGAAATTGTAGTAGAAAGTTGCCAAGGTAGAGCCTGATATGCAAATTATCAACGCGAGTGCACAGTTTCGTTGTTACTATAATGGAAAGGAACAAGGTCATGATGATTCAGCACGCGAGTGGTATGTATAGTCGTGCACAGTCAAATGTTGTACAATTTCCTATTTTAAGTAAAGTTGCAAGGGCCGTCCCAATCCGTCACCAGCCATACTTTTCGAAAGCGTTATTATCGTAAGGAACGTGCAAGGGAGAGTTAATGTCCCCGAACGCCCCCTTTTCCATGCGCTGGAGGATTATTAATTATCCACGTGCCGGCCTATGCCCAGCGGCAGCCATCACGTCGCGTCACGTGACCGCTCCAACGGCAGGCGCACAACAAATTCACCCCCCCCCCCCCTCCACCTCGTCCAGGCAGCGCTCTTGTTGGCATCTCGTGTCGCCGTTAACGCTTTTCCAGTTCACCGAGACGCCGCCATTATAGTCTCGTGCAATGGCGGTGTCCATACACACGATAGCGGTATTGAGAGAATGCGCGAGGTGGTTGTCATGTGGCGACAGCAGCAGCAGCGCCCCCTACCGCTCGGCTCCCCCAGCGTCCGCGGTCCCAGCGACTGTCGAAGCCTCGCGTGGACGGAGCCCAGGCAGAGGAAGCTGCGGGGAGCATGAGACACGTGACCGCCAAGACGAGAAAACGCAGGGGGAGGAGAGGGAGGCAAACACCGCACCCCCCCCCCCACCCCCAAAAAAATAATTGGCCCTGTAGCGATTTTAGGAAGGGCCTATTCAAGGTCAGCACGGCGCACGAAGGAGTTGGTGTTAACAGCGCCACGCAAAGCCACCTCTGGAACCCCTACCACCCACAACGGGGCAAGCGAGACATTTCAGGACCGCATTTCCACGTTTTTATCTCAATGCATTTCTCCATGCAGGCCAGTTACCCAAAGCGATATGGAAACGCCCTCTCTTACAAACGTACACAAGACTTCATTATCCAGAGCTGTTGAGGAACATCCCTAAACACCACTCAGCACGCCCCTCCGCCTCCTCACCTGGTCAGGAGCAGAACTCGCAGAGCCGCCATTGCAAAACAAATCATCGCCTGCGTCGCTTTCCTTCGGCCATGGACCCCTTTTATATGGAGAGCCCTCAGCGATCCCGATCCAGATTGGATCAGTTCCACCCACGCATTGTCTAATCAGCGAGATTTTATCAGAGCAGATCGAGTCACTCATTGTCTCATCAGTAGAGGTTTGCTCGTTCTCGGCGCACGTGCATGGATAGGATCTGCACCGCAAATCACGCGGCAGGTACGCAGGAGGAGTTAATTGGCTCATTACTGAAACTGAATGAGGCCGCGCGCAGATAAAAGCCCCGAGTCGGGACAGTAGCTGCGTTGGTTCTGCTGGTGCCGTGCTAAGTCTCGGTTTTTTGTTGTCCTTGCGATGGAGATCACGAGGGCTTTGTTGTCGGTCTTAGGGTTGTTATGTATTGACTATGGTGAGTGGAGTTTGGTCGAAAGATTATTTTACAAACGTGTTTATTTGTCGTGTAATGTAACTGCCGTGTTTACTAATGTGAACACCATAATATACACGTACTAACGATGGGTTTGGTAGTGTGGCGTGGTGATTAATTCACCGTTCTATTTACCTGAACACGAATTTGCGTCCTGGTAATGTTAACATTGGCGAAATGTGGCTAGACCTGGGGCTTTGCCCTAATTCAGCCCGTACTGATCTGTATGGTCAAACTGACGACCGCAATGTGCGAGACTTGATCTAGTAGTGGATTGCCAAAACGTATTCTTGACCTGTCGTGACGCGTGTATACATTTATTGAGGTGCTACTGGGGAATTCGAACTCTTGTATTAGCAGCTCCGTGTGGATGATTGACTCGAGGCTCTGAGACTTTCTACGGCTTCACTGACCACCTGTGTCACTGTTGGGGTAACTCTCGCGTCTCGTCCCGTGCGGCACCGCCAGCTGCAGTGGCCACCGCTGCCACGGTGAGTGTGGTGTGTGACGAGGCGACGCTCACGCTGACCGTAAGCAGGGACCTGTTCGGCACGGGTCACCTGGCCCAGGCGGGTGACCTGTCCCTGGGAGTACCAGCCTGCCCCGTCACTGGGAGCGACGCCCTTGCTGGGACGGTGACCTTCCTCTACGCACTGGAAAGCTGTGGCAGCAGCCTCCAGGTAACTGGCTGCTAATGCTGCTGTAACATAATCTGCGCAATCCAACTGCTTTATGTTTTTGCCGAGTATAGGTGCAGAAGAATTACAATTCCGCATTCGAGTCAAGCCAGACTTGTTCAATAACAGCGGGGTGTATCGCTTTGAAATCCCCTTGGTATTTGTAGATCGGTCATTGCATTATTATGTTAAAGTCCGTTCTGGTTGACCAGTCGTACATTAGAGCGTTTTTATTCTTCCATAATACATTGGGAATCTGCATTTGACATGGTGTGTGTGGGTGTTTTTTTATGGGTGACATGAGCTAGGTGAATTATTTAAACCAAGGAACGGCTGCATTTGGTCTTTCACCAAGGTGTTTGAGCTTTTTTTAAAATTATTATTCTGCTAGTATTGCAATAGGTAATAAACCCCACGTCTTCCTCCCTTCTTAGATGAGTGCAGAGCTGCTGTCTTACGAGAACTACCTCTACTACCGCCCCACGTCCAACACGGGCATTATCCGCACAAACTACGTCGCCGTGCCGGTCGTTTGCCGCTATCCCAGGCGAGTTCACCAGCAGTCTCTTGTTGACATTTGCTTAATTTTGAAGTCCAGCTAAACTGTTTACAATTCTACCACTGTCTTTAAAAATTACGTGCCGTTGCGTGTGCTTTAGCTTTGCGAGGCCTGAATTGCAATAAAGCCAATGTCGGCGAGTTAATCCACCGATGGAAAGTCTCCCTGTGCTGTCTGTCGTGGGGGTTTTTAGTGGCAACTTTACTGATGGGTTCACATCAAACGCCTGTCGTGGCCTGCCTCAAACATCCAGCCTTGCAAGTGTCCACGCCTGAAGTGGTGCATGCATTGCATACTGCGTGAACCACTGTTCCCTTGATTATTCTCCATTCCCCCACGTCTTCTACTTACTCTTATTTGGTCCTCGTCGGATAAAAGTCTTGCAAGTTGCGATGTTAAATATACTCTGAAAATATGGTTCTGTATCTCTTCGCTTGTCTATTCGTTGTAAGATGTTAACGACATTGCAATAATAATATGGTCACAAATTGGTGCAGTTGAGCATCACCCACCTTTGCTCTTTGTAGAGAATGTGTGCCTGATCTCTTCCTGACTGCAGGAAGGGTAACGTGTCCAGCAATGCTATCAAACCCACATGGATCCCCTTCAGCAGCGCCAAGGTTATGCAACAGCAGCTGAGCTTCACGCTGAGGCTCATGACCGGTCAGTTTTGATGTGAGGACGTTGATTGCCTATTATGCACATGGCTACTACCAGGATGGCAATTTAGACCTATAAACCCTTCAAGATGTGTGCTTGGTATTGAAGAATAGGCCAGATATATGCCCGAGGTCCCTAAACTTTATCTGAGGTTGAAGAATAGATTTACTCCTTTTTTTCTGGCACCAAAACTGTGGTGTTTAGATGTTAAAACAACAAACTGAGAACTTTTTTTTACAAGGAATCGTGTCTACATTAACCATTAATTGTGGTCAGAATGCAAACAAAACAACTGATAATATATGCATTGTCTTTGAAACTGATTGGTCCACACCAGACGGCTTTCTGTCGAGACGAAAGACTCTGCCAGAAAGAAAGCTGTCTCTGGTTTCCACCAAATGAGTTTCAAAGATGATGCATATATTATCAGTTTTTTATTTGCATTCTGACCACAAATTTTGTGGTTAATGCAGACATGATTCATTTGTAAAACGTTTAAGTTTGCTGTTTTAACATCTTAACACCTGTTGCCAGAAAAAAGGGAAACCTATTCTCATTTTGGTACTGGCAAAGGAGGTCCCATGATTTATCTTGGTTTCTTCCACAAGCAGCGGCGTGAGCAAGCACTTTCCTGGCTGCGCTTTTAGTCTGCACTCGGCCTTGGCAATTGTGTTTTTAAAGTTGTCTAATTGTGTTTTCTTTTATGAAGACGACTGGAGTGTGGCGCGACCTTCCACCGTATACCAGCTGGGCCAGACTTTGCATGTCGAGGCGAGCGTGCAGACACTGAACCACGTTCCACTCCGGATCTTCGTGGTCAGCTGCTTTGCAACCCCGGTTCCGGACAGGAACTCTCCCCTCAGCTACCAGATAATTTCTAACTCTGGGTGAGATTTCTCTCTTAATCCCACCTAATTAATGTTTATGCTCCTTGTCTTAAAGGTGGCATTCCACTGCTTGAGTATATAACACAGCCTGACCTTGGAATGGCGCTGAATCTTGCTCTGATGGTTAAGCCTGACCAGGTGTATGGTTGATGATTTTACTGGTAGGAACGAAGTGGACCAGACCACCAATAGAATGTGTCCGTCCGACTGTCCGTGTATCAACATCGCCCCCTACTGCAAACACTTGGCATGACCCTGTCCGACAAGATGGCCGCCCGCTCCCCCTGCGATCTGTGAATTAAACAAGATGGCCGTCGCTTCCGGCGCATCACGGCAAAACTTTAAACTTCGCTTCAAAATGACTTTACTGAAACGCAGCACGTTTAAAAAAAATTACTTTTCTGTAACGCAGCACGTTTTTTAACACAGAATGGAAACATTTATTAACAGAGACGAGATACATTTAATCGCCTTATTTGTGCACAAAGTATGGCGCGAGGCCTAGTGCGGCAGGCTTCGCGAGGCCTAGTGGTGGTGGTGGTGTGGTGGTGGGGGGTGGTGAGGGCTGGTGGGAGGGGTGGTGTTGGGGGGGTCTTTAAATCTCACAGCGTTTCTTGTCAAAACAAACACTTTTAATTAATGTTACACTAGAATACAGTATTTTCTTTAACTCCTCTATACCCGGTCGCTATCGCTGTACCGGTACTAAGTATTATTCCTACCAGCCCACCCCGCAGGGTCCTGTTTATCATGTGGTGTCTGTCGGTACATTACTGATGAGAGATGTGGTCAATGTGCGTCATTGGTGACTGATTTGGTTTGCGAGTGGGAGGGGCCCCTTGCCCCTTAAGAGGTGGGGCTTGGCGCACCCTCTGTGCCGTATTATACAGTGGAAGAGGAGTACTACATCTCCTAGCGCTGGCTTTCTGCTGGCCTGCCCTATGTAAAGTCACGTGTCGTACATCTACGGTGCCTGTGCAGGTGTCTGGTGGATGGCAAAGTCTCGTATGATGCTCACCTTACTTCTGGCTTCCTGCTCCGGCAAAGTGACAACGTCCTTCGCTTCTTCATAGATTCCTTCCGCTTCCTTGCGACGTTGACCAACAATGGCGATCAGGTGATCTACTGTCATGCAGGCTTCTACAGAAACCACCTTTTTAGCCACGTGGTAGGCAGTGTGGTTGAGTAATAACCATCTTCCTCTTCTCGGTCCAGGTTTTCGTCTTCTGCCAGTTGAAGGTTGCAGATGTTGCTACATCTCCTACGGCTGCCAATAAAGCTTGCACCTACAGCCCCTCGGCTGCATACAGGTTGGTCTGCTTCCTTGCATTGCCCAGCAATTTGTTTTTCAGTGTCTTCCATCCAATAGCTCAATCCATGCCTTGCATGTGGGCTACATATTATTGCATGCCTGTGTGCTTAACTAATATCCCTGAGACCTGACTTTGGTTTCTAGCTGCAACTGGTATTAAAACATTTCCTGTGCAGTCTCACGGGTCTTCTCTTGTTTAGATGTATTCAGGTGATTATTAGTCATAGCCTGCACTTGTCTTGAGTTTAGGAACAAGTGTAGCAGCCTGCAAACGACGTCTGTCATTCGTTTGAGCTCCTTTTGAAAAATCTCAGCCTCGTAGCCAGAGTTCGTCGGGAGCATTAACCGAGCCTCGCCTTCGTAGATTTTTTTTTTGTCCTCGAGCTGATCACCCAGGGCTGGTGTGTAACAACATTGGAAGTGGTCCTGGTCACAGACTTTCCCTTCATGCTACAAATACTTTCAGTACTTTCCTATAAGGCTCTGACTCTACAGGTCGGGTGCCGTCATACAGTTAAACACAACTACGTCCAGAATTGTATTCCTGGCCACTGCTCCCATCGAGTGGTAGTGTCGCTATCGGTCTGGTCGACCGTGGTGCTGGCCAAATGGTACACCACTGTACGCTGCTTGCCCTGAACGGGTGCTCAATCGGCACTTTTCTTAAATGTAAACGGATACGAGTGAGCATTGCCTGTAACTACAGACGACGTTTGTGTGCAATGCAGGTGGGTCTCTGCTGATGGCTCGGACTCGGTGTGCAGCTGCTGCGAGTCCACGTGCCCCAGTGGAAGAAGGCGCAGGGACGTGGCAGCAGTGACTGGTGAGTACAACCGTTGTAATCAACCATTTAGTCTTGTACAGAAGACCCTTGAATATCAAGGGAGTTACGGTCTTGGAAAGTGTCAGAAATCCCAAACTGCGACATTCACTATGTAAGCCTTGCCTAAATAATGGTGTTAGGTATGTGGCAATCAGGAATGGAGGCATCGCGATTGAAATAAGTAATGTGCCAAGTAAACTAAATGGAAATAATTTCGATTTAAAGCTTTTGTGACTGCAGGGATTCATATTCTTGGTTTTTTTCGGTAAAGTCACGTAGAAGGGAAATAAAAAAATTAAACACTAAAATTCTCATGACGTTTGGATTGCAACACAAGCAATCATCATCAGTTATGTATGGGCTTAAGCCTAGACCTTCGCCACATTACTAATGTGGTCCTCTCACTCAGGACCGTCGTATGCGGTGGAAGATGTGATGCTGGGCCCCATCGTGATTGCCAAGCCCTTCTCAGATGGTGCCCAGCCAAGCAGCCCTGCAAAACAGCAGCAGCCACGGGTTTCTACATCTGCATCCAAAGGTAAAGCTACCAGATTCTTTCATGGCACATTTTTTCCAGTCTCAGTTAAAAGCTGTTTCTCATACTTTGATACTGGGAAAAAGGTCCCATGATGTATCTGCTCACCCAGGGATATAAATGCTCTGATGCATGGATTGTCGTTGCACTGTTTGCCTTTTGGCGTTTTCTGGTTTGACTCGGACTAGCCCATAAAGAAGGTTGTCTTTGGTGTAGACCAATCCGTTTCAAAGATGATACCAATATAAAAGGAGCATGTTCACCAAAAGTGCGTGCGGTTAATGCAGACTTAATTTAAAACCAGGCCATCTATGAGGCAATGACGCTTTAAGGTTGACCTCTCATGGATTGGCACTCTGTAATACTTAATCACTATACGGAACTTTTTGCAATTTGGGGAGGAAGCAATTTGTTTTTCGAAGTCTGCTTTCTTGCTCCTTTGAAAGGGCCTATGACATCCAACTACAACCCCCTTCCCCAATAACAAGTTGAAAAGGTACAAAACACGGATATTACAGCAGTGCCCTAAAAGGTATGACCAACAAATATTGCCATGATCCTCAAATGTGCTTTGGTCGTCCGATGTAAATGTTTAAGATCTCTATTTGTTTAACATACCTAATATGATATTTGTGATTGTTTTTTAATAACATACGATGTGTGACGTGCTGAACTAAAGCCATCCACCAGTGTAAAATGCAAACCTTAGTGAGTGACAAATTTGAACAGTACGCCTTTCACACCTTGACCAAATAGTCGGATAGGTCAAATACCCCCACAACCTCCAGAATGTGGAAACCCTAGCTTTACGGCTCTGCAGTTACCCACCAGCCCTTTCTCTCAATTGTTGTTTTACAGGTGCTGCTCCCGTCCTCGGTCTGGGAGTGGCTGCGCTGGTGATGGCTGTCGCAGCAAGCGCCACGGTGGCTTTGTTTGTTTCGAAGAGGCGTCACACGACTCCTTCAAAGGGATTGGAAACGAGCTTCTGATCTTCAGTTGCTTTGCTTAAGTTGTGATAAATAAAACTGGTGCATTACTTCTTGTCTTGTGGGGTCTTTGCTTGGCGTTTCGAGCACTTTGTGTAACTACACCATAGCCCAGTTCATGAGGGTGAGCATGGAAACAATTGTGGTCTCCAATTCATGCGTGCCAGGACTAGTAGGATGTACCTAATAATAATAATGGCAAATGTTTTTTCTTTAAACCTTCCCAATTGTCCAAACTGGCAGTCATTGTTGTCCATGTGCAATGGAGCAGTTGAACAATTTCTAGTAAGAAATCCATTCCTATGTCACTTTAATCTTCCATAAAAATGGCCGCAGAAGTTTTTAACCGTGGCAGTAATTGGGCATTGTTGGTACATTACAAAGACGGATAATGTGCAACACCCGTGCAAAAAATAGGAGAATTTAATACTGTACTTAAGCCGGTTGGAGTTTTACATGTGGAAATTTGTTTCCAGAGTGCCCACAGCCTTAAATCAAAATATTACCGGTCGGAACAGCAGTTCCACACTGCCCACCAGGGTTTGATCTGTCTTGCATCGTCACGCCCTCGATTTGTATTTCATAGAGTGCTTCGGGAGGGCTCGGCACCACGTGACGCGCCGCCCAACGCAGCTTGCGCCGCGTGAAACTGATCGCACGAATGCTCTGTCCAACCAAACTCCTACCTGCCCACTCCGAAGGAACGTGTTTAGTCATCCTCGGGATGGGAGCTCAAACGCCCTGTCCATTGGATGCATGTCAAAGTTACAACAACTAACAATACAAGCTATGGGAGTGCATAGTATCTTGAAGGTACATAAATTACACTATACAAAGTATATACGTTCAAATAGCATGAATACACCAATTCCCATGCTTGGGCAAGTTGGTCCCAGACCTGAGTTTTGTGGTTGTGCAAGGTGGAGTTGTTGAACTGGGGGTGCGGGCTAAAGTTATGCAGCGTTTGTGGTACCTAGCTTTACAACCGTTGCATTGGATAGACTTTGCATTGACGTTCTTGCCACAGAGGAAAAACGGGCCTGGATTCAATTCAAAGTACCCAGCAATTATCAAACGCCAGCTCCAGTATACTGGGAGGCCTGGGCTGGCTGGCAAAATAACAGGAAAGTGCGAGGGGGTGATGTTGCCATTTGCAAGTGCTTTCATAGTACTTGGTCTCTCCACTTTGAACAAGCTGTAACACTGGAGAGACTGCATGTGCAAGGAGTTATTTTCATAAGTGGGGGGCGTGATCCTTCCAGTTGACAAATGTAGTCTTTCGTGCTACGATGTGAAAGTCCGGAGCAGGGAATGTTGAGGTCTCGTTACCGTGCCACGTTTATACCTCGCAAAGGGTCTCTTACGGACGAGGAGATGTCTGTGCCACAGATCATTAACAAAAAGCTTGTCATCTCATGGAGTTTTGCAAAATCTAGGCAGAGCCAGAAGGCCTGGGGATATGTTTGTACCATGACCAGGGCACCTTGGGTAGCCTGGTGAGACCTCTATGAATTATTTTTTTCCTCATTCGTCAGGTATGCTCGTGTGTGAATTTAAACGGAGTCCTAAGTGAGAGAGCTCTTGGACCAACTCTTGGGGCTCGCCAGATCTGTCCATATCTCTGCCGTATAATCTCATAGGGCACAAACCTGCCCCACAGTTTCTTGGACCCAAAGCTAATGACAGAAACCCCTCCTCCCTTGAGTTAATAAGTCTCGGAATGTCTATTTAACCCTTTGGTGCTTAAAACCATTCAATAATTGGATGAACTAAAGCCCCAAGCTTCTTAACGAGGGATTTATTGATGGCATCTCTAATCTGAAAGTCTCTGAAATTGAAAGTGGGGATATTATAGCATCCGCAAGCTTTTGAAAGACATCACCCTCCCGTTTGCATGCAAGAAGTCATAAACCATTTCCAGCCCAGACTCCCAACTACATTAGATTATCCGGTGGCTTAATGGGGAAGGGTGCGCCCGATTTTCACGTAGTTATTTAAAATAAAAAAATGTTGGGAAAGTTTTGTATGGCATATTTTTTGGTGTGTGGATTTTGTTTTGTGTTTAAAAAAATACTCTGAAATTGACCAATAAACATTCAAGCAGACAAAACAAATACCCGACTGTAAATAGTTACTGTATTTACTGTATCATACCACTGCAATCTCGAAGACTGAATAGGGTGATGTACGTATTATGCTCTTGCTTCAATCGCATTGGACGATTGCTGGACTGATACAGCTTTTTAGAGTGGTGCTCTAGTGAATACACTCACTTTTCTCCTGATCGCATGATATATGTCGTGATTGTAGCATCACTACTGTGTACACACGCGCACGTGTGACGTCACTATGCCGAGAGCGTCACTACCACGTGGGTCTACACACACACATGACGTCATCCCGGCTGTAAGTGGGAATGACATCAGGGCCGGTTCTGGACTCGGGAGACCACGGGGGTGATGTGAGGTCGTGGCACGCTCTGTGATCCCGGCTGGACACGTGACCGGATCCCAGTGGGGGACCGGGGGCCCAGGGGGCACCTCGGGTGGCACGTGGACAGCAGGGGGGCGGGGGGCTTCGAGAGGGTTCTCGAAGAGAGGCGTAGCCGGGGTGGGGCCTGGGCAAGCCGTGGCCCATATAAGCAGCCTCCTCACGAGGTTCGAGGATGCCCATGCCAAGAATGAAGATGCATCGTGAAGACGTCAAGAAGAGTCAAGCCTCCAGTCAGCGAACCTGCCAGTAGCCCACCTGGCTAGGTCATGCTAGAGTAGCTGAGAGTTAGAGAAGTGCGTGTTAGCTCGAGTAGGTTGGTGGTCACCACCCTATGTGTAATGTACAGTGTTATAATACTTACTGTTCTAATAAATGGGTGTTGCCTCCCAAGAAGTGTGTGCGCCTAAATTGAACCCACTGCATTTGGTGTTAGAAGTGGCTAACGTTAGGTGTTATCCTAGTCAGTATAATATGCGCACGATTACTATAACTTACCTGGATGCTTTCACACGATGGGGACGGCGGAAAAATCATATTCCGGGCGGCCCAGAACCAAAGAGTATGGATCCTTGCAGTCACGAAAACTTCAAATCTAGAATTATCTCTTCCACTCACTCCAGGTCATTAGCCGTTACCACCGGAGCATCCCATTCAGTGTCGAAAACTCAAGGAAATCCAAGACTTGTTTATCCCTTAACGATGCTTCATGGAACGTCCGCACCCTCCTGGACTCTGACGATAAACAAACTACAGACCGCACAGAAGGATAGGCCTCGTGGCCCATTAATTCAGAGAATACAACATCGACATTGTAGCGCTTAGTGAAACCCTCTTACATGGAGAAGACTCTCACAGAGGCAGAAGTTTGTGAGGGCTACGCCTTCTTCTGGAAGGGTGATCCAGAAGATGCTCGCCGCCTCCAAGGTGTGGGTTTTGCTGTGCAAACCTCAATCATTTAATGCGTCGCTGAATTCCCTATTGGTATTATTGAGCTTCTGATGATGTGGCGCATTCCCTTGGCCGGGGGGCACTCTGCCACACTCATCAGTGCTCATGGGCCTATACTAGATGCAGACAATGATGCCAAGGAGGCTTTCAATAAAGCTCTCGTCACTGCCATTAAAAACACACTGCGCACCGACAAGCTACTCCTCATGGGATACTTTAATGCCAGGGTGGGCTCGGAACACCAGATGTGTGACCGTGTACTAGGCTGACATGGGCTGGGTGAGCATAATAGCAACGGGCTGCGGCGACTCTCCCTATGCTCCAAAGAACAACCTGTTCCGGTTTAAGCACAAACACAAGCACTCATGGCAACACTCCCGCTCTAAACACTGGCACCTGCTAGATTACATCATCATCCGTCAGTGTGACTACAACGAGGTGCTAGTAACCCGAGCCATGAGTGGAGTGGAATATTGGACTGATCACCATATGATCAGAGCCAAGTTCCGCGTTGAGATCCGTCCACGCCATCCAAGTAAGGCCCAAAATAAGAGACGGAATGGCAATGCTCTCAAACATCCAGTTGTCACAAAAAAAACTCCCCCCAAACTCCCTCGACCCAAACAACACATGGACTGAGTTGCACACATTCATCGTAGAGGCGGCCTCTGTATCAAACCGGGTACACCAAAAAGCTTCACTAAGACTGATTTTAGGAGAACACTGCCAACATCCACACACTACTACAGACCAAATGCGTAGCCCACAAAGCCGTCCTTTCCGACCGAGACTCTGCCACTCTCCAGTGCTCCCTCTCCAAGGCCAAAGCAGAGTCCCAGTGCGCTCTCCATGCCATGGAGGACACCTGGTGGGTCCAAACACGCAGATGAGATCCAAAGCCGCCTCGCAGACGCAAACAACACCCAAGAGATTTTTTTATGATGCCGTCAAAGCCCTCTGGCCACCAAAACAAGCCATCACCCCGGTCAGGTCTTCTTATGGCAACAAGCTTTTCAAGGACCACCAAAATATCTTGGAGAGATGGGCAGAGCACTTTTATAATATCCTCAACCACATCAACCCCACAGACCCTTTCATCCTCGAGACACTGATATCCCACCCATTCATGAACTCGACACTCAACCACCATTTTCTGAGGTCGACCAGGCAGTCAAAGGCCTGACAAACAATGAAAGTCCTGGACCCAACGGCCTCCAAGCTGAGATGCTGAAGCAAGGGGGATACCTCCTCCTTCACTGCTTGCAACTTCTCATCAAGTCCATCTGGCTGTCCATAACCATCCCACAGGAATGGAAGGACGCGAATATTGTAGTTATCTATACAAAAAGAAGGGTGACAGAGGCTTGCGGCAACACACAAAAACCAGACCCCAACAGTCCTTTGAACTGCAATATTCAGACGACTGTGCACTCATGGTTCATACCCCAGAATCCATGTAGCACGCCCTCAACCGGGTCTCCTCCTAGCACTCTGTCGGCCTCCAAATCAATACTTAGAAGACAGAAATACTTTCTCAACTCTCATCCACATGCACCTCACTCCCTATCTTCATTATCGGTGGTATTCACCTCAAAATGGTTACCC